GTGGTTGGTTGGTGTTGGTTAGGGGGTGGTAGTTTTCGGGGATTATGCTAATTTATGAATTCCTGTAGGGATCGGCCGTGGCAGGCGTTTCCGATTACGATTGTTGTCGGGGCTTATATTGGGTATAGTGTCGGGTATGGGTTGGGAAGGAGCGTGTTGTTTGGGAAGAGGTTGAAGATTGAGGAGGAGGGTGATGTGGTGGAGGCGAAGAAGGTAGATTGATTTTTTATTAATATTTTTATAGATCGGATTGGGATTGATGACATTCTGTGGGTGGTTTACCGGGCTAAGCTTCGGATTCATTCGGTTGGTTGGAGGGTATGTGGTTTGTATTTTAGAATCATTATGTATTATTTATTGGACAGCATTAATATTGCACTCTAGTATTTATGTCTTTAGGTTTCTTAGTTCGAGGTCATTTTTCTTGTGATTGCATGAGGTGCATGATGGCATGATGTTTCAAGTAGTTGGAATTTATATATTCGAATCTATAAGCAACCCGTGCTATCTAATATCCAGGATGATAACATTGCTGAGAACAGTCTAGCAGAATGACCAATCATTACATAGTCGTGAGCTGGGAACGTAATAAAACAGAAGAGAAGTGGAGGGAATGGCCAATAGCCAAATGCAAGGATTAAATCGTAAGGAGGAAAACCGCATCCATCCTGGTAAGAAACCCTGTCATAATGCAGTGGTTATAAGAAACCCGTTCCAACCTGACCACCGAGGTTCAGCGCCGGTCACAGGCCAGCAACTCGATCAGATCATATTACCGATTTCCACTCGCCGGTTTGGCGGCCATCGATGCCGAAGTGTGTCTTCCGTTGGTGTGTCGGATCGATCGTAGTCCGAATCACTCTCATAGGGGGAGCCGAGTTTCGGTTCCGTACGGACAGGGATCGTTTGTGAATACCCCATCGTGTTGGAGTCCGGACGTATGAACTCCTGCGAGTCAGCGTTCCGGATTGGGTACATCGTTTTGAGACCCATGGAATTTTGGGCCAGCTGTTGCAGCTGCTGGATGTCCGAGCGCAGGCCGGAGACCTCATGTTCGAGGCTGCGGCGGGCGTTTTGTTCGCGCCGCAGTAGCGTGACCAAAGCGCTGTACTGCTCTACCGAGATGCCGGCGTTATGGTCACTGAGTGAGCTTAAGGAGGGGCTTTGTAACGTTTTTGAACGATGAAGGTGTGTGCTGGGGCGGATGGTAGCCGTGCTCAGCGGCCGATCTCCCGCGGATCCTGCACTGGGCGTAGTCTCACTGCCGGACGGTGGGGGCTGAGTCGTAGACTGTTTGCGCTTGTGCTCGGTCGAAGAATTCTGTGATTGCTTCCTCCCGGACGTCGCCGTGGGAGAAGGTTCACTGCGTTCGGTCTGCATGCGGGCGATGGCAAATTCCAGGTCAATCAGCTTCACCTCCAAGGTGGTCAATCGCTGCTCCAATGATATACTCTCGTCGTGCTGCATGGCGCTGACCAACGTGCCGACATTTGGGGGTATGCTCTCTTCGTCCACAGGGTTATGCAGAGGGTCCACGCCATCCACGGACGGCTCCACGGCCGTCTGAGGTGCACTGACTGCCGTGCCCCGTGTCGGGGGTCGGATGGACATCAAATCGGTGTCGGAAGCTGCGCCACACGCGGTTGACGTGACGTAAGACTCGATACTGCGTCGTCTCCACTGAATCGGAGACATCCGGTGGTTCTTGGCCAAGCCCCGCAGAGCGGTTGCACTCCGTGAGCGTCGTTTGCTGCGCAGGAGCTCGCGCCGTCGCTCATCATGGTCGCCGAGGCAGGGGCTTTTACATCGACTGCCCGTGGGGTCCGACTGGATCAACGCATCGAGGGCATCGCGCGACTCGTCGTCGTCCGAGAAGACTAAGCTGGGCAACGTGGCTCGGCGGGTTCGGGGTGGCCTCATTTCGAGCTTTAACAATGTATCTTCAAAGGCCTTCGGATCCTTGAGCTCATCCCGGACTGGGTTGCTGTATTTCGATTTCAGTGAACTCGAGAGGGCGGCATAATTCGTGGTGTCCTTATCTGGCCGCGATTCTTGGGGATTGTTCAGTCGAAAGTCCGGAGAACCCTCCTCACAGCCGTCCGCCGAGCCCCGTGTTTTGCGAGTGAATATTTTCCTCATGACGGTCTTCAACGTGCTCCCGGTCCGGCGATGGGCGTTGGGCCCCCGAGTCATGCTCGACATGTCCGGGGCGAAACCGAGGGCGGCGGCGGCTTTTTGGTTTCCACGAAAGCTTCCTACCACGATGGACGGATCGGAGCCGCGGTACGAGCGAGAGTTGAGCATCAACTGCTTGGAAGTGATGGGCGGCAGGGCTGTGTCGTAACAGAGGTCGGATTCGGAATCTGACGATTGATCTCGAGGGGCTAGACAACTTCGCAGGGAGTCACTTCCAATACTGAGGCTTGGGCGGGACATGCTGAAGGGATCTCAATGGCGCTGTATCCGGGTCAAGCGGTCGAATCCTACAAGATGATGGCGGGTTCATAGAATGAGCGGATGCAGCGATGGACCATTAGATAAGGAGCAGGTGATCAAAAGAGGTAGCGACAGTCCAAATAGAAAAGAAAAGGCTTCAAATGCAAGGTCGACGAATGGGTATCTCAAAATTTCGACGGTATCAGGTCAGGCTATAGAAGCGGGGGGGTCAGCATGACGGAGTGCCAGCAACTACGAAGCGCTCACCTTGACCGGAGATAAAATCATAATCTATAGGCTGCCGGACCTGACCAAACGAGGTCAGTCGTGATCCACCGGTCGAAGCGACTAGATAAACTTACCAGCAAAGAGGGAGCAGAAAGGGAACGACTAGGTTGGTAGTACGGCGATATGGTGTCCACATCGAACAACCCGGCATTCCTCCTCCGAGGAACCAAAAATGAGAGAAGTGAACAGGGCGCAGCGTCGAGACTAAATCCACGAACGAGGGACTAGGGCAGCCTTCGGGGCAGACGAAATAAACTTCACCACGCGGAGGATTACCGCCACAATGGGGACGAGACTGGGGGAATCACTGAAGCTTATCAAACAGCGGACGGCATGGGGGGAATGATAGTGGGCTCTGATGCATTGCGTTTGGCCAAGAAAAGGGAGGGAGGAGGAGGGGGAGGGGGAGAGAGAAAGGGAAGAAAAGAGAGAAGGGAAGGGAGTGAAGGAAAGGAAAATTAAAGTAATGTAATAAGAATCAAAAATAGTAATAGTATGATGGGAGGTTGTATAGTTAGTTAGTTGCCTTGGGGGGTTCACGACGGTGCGGCTAGAACGCAGACTAGTAATGGATTCCTGCAGACTCGCAGAAGGAATGGACGGGAATGAAGGAGAGGGGGGGAAATAAAAAAACAAGTCCAAACAAATTAGAGAAAGAAGAGAAAAAGAAAAAGAGAGAAAGGGACCGGATTTGGTCTAGGAGGATCACAGTCGAGGAAAGATTGACCAGGACGAAGGAAAAGAGAAAGGAAAGAGAAGAGAGCATCCATTGAACGCAATTGCTCCGAGACGGCAGTGGAGAGTCCACTGGGCGTGCCTTCGACAAAGAGCCCGTGCACGGACTCGCTCTTGTTTCAGGAGTTCCAGAATTTTCAGGGGTAAATCTTTTTTTTTTTTTTTTT